TTAGATTTAAAGATGAAGAGGTTAAACAGCAAAGACATTTTTTCCACAGTATATGTCTATTCATAGGCCTATTTATTCCAGACACAGTAAGGATTTCACATCTAAAATATTTAGCACCAATAGCACCAAGTTACTTGTTCTACATTCATTAAGATTACTTTTTAAACTTTTAATAATGTTTGCTTAATGTGATGTTCAAAATTGGATATTGTCACCTATACTTTTATTTTTACAGATTTGTGCTACTATTTGCTGTTAATATTGCTTGTATTATATATATATATACGTACATTTTTTTTTTTTTTTCAAGCTGATACATTAGAAATGACTTTTTTTTTCTGAGATAACAGTGCCATCACTTGGCCATAGCAGCAAATAACCTCATGATTTGTATGAACGCATACATTGTAGGTACTGTGAAAAACAATTATTAAACTGCAGGTAATCGCAAATAAAAATTTTACAGAATATAACCTGCACAAAGATCTGACTGCAACACTATATTACACATAAAATCATAACTGTTCAGTTTTGACCTAGGCTGCTATTAGAATATGCATGATAACCAGTACAAATTGAATGTACATATACCTTAAAGCACAAGTTTTATGTGTTATTTTGTTTTTTGGTCCAAGATGTAAGACAAACGATTAGATTTAAAACAAGATCATAAACAAAGGTTACTTCCACAGCAATCAATGTACCACCGCTCTCTCACCATCTTAGCTTAAGTTGTTCAGATAATTAAGAGAGAGTGAGTGAAGCCAAGAATGGTGTTCCATACTCAGAATTCATGCTCTGCATTTAACCCATCCAAGTGCACACACACAGTAGTGAACACACACACCCGGAGAAGTGGGCAGCCATTTTTGCTGTGGCGCAGGAGAGCAGTTGGGGGTTTGGTTTTTGCTCAAGGGTCTCACCTCCTCCCACCGACAATCCTTGCCTGTACCGAGACTCAAACCCACAACCTTTGGGACACAAGTCCAACTCCCTAACCATTAGGCCATGACTGCCCCATAAATAGCTATGTTAAATCGAGTTTATCGGGTTCTATATCTTCCTTACAGTTACTCACCTGAATCAAGAAGGGCTGGTCAAATCCATCCATGTCAGATTACCTTCTCATTTCCAACCATAGTTCCATCAAATGCTCTGTTTGACTCTTTCTCTTCACCCCCATCTTCAATTCATTCACAGCAGGGAAAAGCCAAACAATTTGGGCCTTTTCTCCTATAATACAAATCCAGTGAAATGGCACTTCTGCTGATAAATGGGCCCAGTGTGCTGCTGAGCTGCGGCTCAGTGTCAAATGGAGGCTCTCTGTGTATAAATCCCAGAGCATCTCAAATGCACTCTGCTCTCATAGAGATGGAGGCGGGGAGAACGGGTGCAGGACCTCAAGCTTGCATCATCTGAACAACAGCGCCAGGCTATAGACAAAACAAAGCCGCACCAGGATTTCATGCGGTCTTGGCAGAAACTGGGCTAAACGTCTGTATGTTTGGTCATTTATATCTGAGTCACAAGCATGAGTTTGTTTCGTATCATGTTCTTTATCAATTTATTTAAAGCTATTCCTATCCATTGTTTTATCATTAATTTTTTTTATATGTTGACAAGCATGCAGAAAGAAAGCACATACAGGGCTGTAAAGCTCCAGATATACAAACCACCTTAACGGTAAGAGATGACCACAGCTCTGAGCGTATTGATTCTGGGAGAGACATGCTGGAATAGTCTGCTCCATCAGTAAGTCGACTCTGCTATAAAAGCCTCCAGGACAGCAGTACATCTCCTCTCTCTCTCTCACACACACACACACACACAACACACACACACACACTATAAAATGCATACATGATGAGTTGTAAAGAGACGTGCAAATGGAATAAATCTGTGTTGGAGTACATGCATGGATGAACATCCATATGTATTATTTATTCCAAAAACTATTCATGAGCTACTGGATGCACCGGCATGAATAATTTATTTGGGTACATTGTAGGAGTTTGCCCTTAGTATCTGTCGAGTCTGTCGAGTCTGTATGCAGAGCTGGGCAGATTACTTACAGATTATAGTCTGTTACTGATTACGGGATGAAAACTATATTAGTAATAATCTAGGTTACTCATTTTAGGTAATGTATACTGAGTACTTTTTAGTTTTTATCAAACTTGCTTTAAACTTAACATTAAATGTACCATATTGATATAAAAAAGCAAAGAGAACGAAAATATATTCCTTTATTTTATATCAAGATCACGGAATGCATTAAACATTACATTTCACCAGGGTTTGTGTGTTGATAAAAAGCTAATAATTCCATCATAAAAATGTTTTTAAAAAAAAGGAATTTAAACACTTGAACACTAAAAATATAAATATTTAATTTGTTTACCTGCATGTTAATGTGACCATTAAGCAACATCAAACTATAAAAATTTAAAAATGTGTTTTTAAATTATTGGAATATTAATTTCCTCAGATATATTTCAAGTAAATATTTCGTGTCAAAGGGGTTTGGCTGACAAAAACGTTTGGAATCCCTGCATTATATGAACAAACATTGTAAGCATGAAAACAGCAATGGCATTCAGGTTTAGACGTTTTTGTCCAGACTTCCAGCAAGTGAGTATATTTTGCCCATATCATCATTTTTATGCATATTTTCCAACTCCAAGCTGTATAAACTGGAATGTTTATTGTATTTAAGTATATCAGGTGATGTGGATTAGTGTAATGAGGGAGGGTGAGGCCTAAGGAGATCAACACCCTGTATCAAGGTGTGGATCATTATTAGGTAGCTCCTTTTCCTCGGGCAAAATGGGCCAAAAAAGAGATTTAACCGACTCTGAAAAGTCAAAAATGGTAAAAAGTCTTTCAGTGGGATGCAGCACTCTTTGCAGATATTGGGGCGTGATCACAGAACCATCGAACGTTTTGTTGCAAATAGTCAACAGGGTTGCAAGAAGCATGTTGAGAAAAAAAGCCACAAATTACCTGCCAAAGATTTGAGAAGAATCAAACGTGAAGCCATTATCCTCCAGTGCGGTCATATTCCAGAACGGCAACATACCTGGAGTGCCCAGAAGTACAAGGTGTTCAGTGCTTGGAGACATGGACGAGGTGAGCAAGCGACCATCACTGAACAAGACACATAAGCTGAAACCTCAAGACTGGGCCAAGACAGATATCTGAAGACAGATTTTTCAAAGGTTTTATGGACTGATGAGATGAGAGTGACTCTTGATGGACCAGATGGATGGCTGGATCAGTAACGAGCACAGAGCTCCACTTCGACTCAGAAATCTTTATTTGTAGATTGAGTTGTTTATTATTCTCACATTAACAGATGAAAATAAAAAAGTGAAGGGTAAATTTTTTTTTTCATTTAGTTAAATGAACTCTGCACACTAATAGTTGCCCAATAATTGTGCACACATAGCCAAAACGTCACTTTTACTTTCTTAAAGGGGAAACTTTTCCTATTATGCTCTTTTACAAAGTCTTGATACACGTTGGTTTGATAATTATATTGATATAGCTAAAAATGCAAAAAATAAATAAAATCTATTCCATTCATTGTTCGTAACAACATGGATTAAACATTACAGTATATGCATTCGTGAAGGAACTGCAGGGGATTCATGAATTTAATGAAAAGCTAATAATTAATTAAATCATAAAAATGTAAAATAAAAATAAATCTTTTTAAAATGACATCAATCAAAATAAATGCATCATTCATTCAATAATAATAATAATAATAAATAAAAAATACAAATGGAATCCCTGCAAATAAGAAATATGTAAACAAGAAATAATGTGAATTTGTGCATTTTAATGTTTGAAAGACAAAAGCCTTCCAAAGACACTGTAATAAAAAAAGTGTTCATCAATAGTTGATGCAATGCTGAAATGTTGTCTTTTTTATGCTCAAACAGCAACATTACAGACTAACTAAAGTTGAAAAAGTGAAAAAGCATAATAGGACCCCTTTAAATATTCAGGTTTGAAGTTTATTAACATTTTGGATTGACCGAGAGCACTGTAGTTGTTCAATGATAAAATTAATCCTCAAAAATATGACTTGCCTATTTTTTAGGTAACACATTTTAGGTAATGTAATCAGACTACTTTTTGTTTACTTTTAGATTACATTTGACCTAACTTGTTTATCACGTTGGTTTGATAATTATATTGATATAGCTAAAAATGCAAAGAAAAAATAAAATCTGTTCCATTCATTGTTCGTAACAACATGGATTAAACATTACAGTATATGCGTTCGTGAAGGAACTGCAGGGGATTCATGAATTTAATTAAAAGCTAATAATGAATTAAATCATAAAAATGTAAAATTAAAATAAATCTTTTTAAAATGACATCAATCAAAATAAAACACTAACTAAAAAATTTTAAATTTTATTTGTTTACCTGCATGTTACCTGCATGTCAACCGTGAACATGCACATGTGATACTTAAATATTTTAACTTAATTATTTTTAACTGTTTTTAATTATAATTTTGGGTTTACAAAAATACACAAAGCGCTATAAATGCATCATTCATTCATTCATTCAATAATAATAATAATAATAAAAAATACTAATGGAATCCCTGCAAATAAGAAATATGTAAACAAGAAATAATGTGAATTTGTGCATTTTAATGTTTGAAAGACAAAAGCCTTCCAAAGACATTATGAATAATTTATTGGTATTGTGTGAATAAAATGTAATCATGTAATGAATAAAAAGTTAACTATAATCTGATTCAGAGTATTTTAAAATGTAATTTAATCTAATTACAAGTACTTAATTGTGCAAAAAGCCCCCCTAAAAATGGCCTAGCAACGCCCATGAAAACCATTATACCTATGGAGAGTCCCCGTAAACCACATATGCAAGAATGCGTGCGTGCGTGGTGTATGAGTTGCGTGCGTGTGTGTGTGTGTGTGTATGAGTTGCGTGCGTGCGTGTGTGTGTGTAACAGCAAAGAGTCACGTCGCCGAGGTGAGTTCCCTTAAAGGACGAAAATACGACATTTAACTCGACGCATACGGTGTGGTGACACCGTCACGCTCTCGGAGAGAGTCTCCGCTGTCTTGAAATGCCAGAGCTGTGTTTTTAAGGCGAATCGTTGAGGTCGAACGCGTCCAGAAAGGTGCAGAAGTGAGATTTTCTGACGGCGCACTTTGGCCTACTGCGACAGGCTGCGAGCGGGAAAGTCGTGCCATTGCAGCGAGTGCTGGCAGTGTTGCGATGATGATATTTGTAATTAGCGAGTGCAGCACATAGCTGAAGGATAGATATAATGTCGTCGCGGGACTGGATGGTCTCCCTAAGCGTGAGAGAGGGTCTGTGGGAGCCCGCGTGACGGACAGGCCAGAGATCAGCCCTGAAGACCACTGCTGATCTTCATCAGGCTTTCACATCATCTTGTTTCGCTCTCTGCGTGTAAGTGCCGATACTGTAGCGATGAGCTCTACGTTAGTGACTCGATGTGTTTGCTGTGTGTTCATATCTGTGCTTACACAGCCTACCTAGGCAGCATTTTTCTCCTCAGTAGGCGCCTTCTGAGTCTCGATTCGCGCGGGTTTCTGGCATCGTTCCCAACTTTCCCCTGGAACAGCATTGGGGCTCCGATTTTAATCGTTCGCACCAAAGGTTGGCAGGTTTTGGCATGTTTAAGTAGTTTATGCATAAATGCACCACGTGAGCTGTGACAATTGACAGTTGTAGCGAAGTCCGGTTGGTGAACGATTCTTTTTTTAAAAGTCGAATCTTGAATCTTTTGAATCGAGCGGATCTCGAGTCAAGAACTCCTCGAACAGAGAAAAGTTACTCTCAGTAAAATGTTTAGGACTTTTGTCAGCACACCTGTACCATGAAGCGAGTTATTTTGGAAATGGCATTTTATTGAAAACCTATAAACTTTTTTTTATTTATGTAAATTAATTTAAAGTTAATGCAAATTATATTGGTTTATGAACTGGTTTACAACTGTTTCAGTCAAATTTGCTCATCTAGTACTGTTTCCCCTAATGACTTTACTTGCAAGTCTAATTAATGTTTTTATGTATATTTTCATGAGCGTGGCCTTCTAGGTTTGTGTTCATTGAATATCTGACCTTCCTCTGGTGTCCAGACTGCAGCTGGAGCACGTGTTTCTGATCTGTGTGTCACGTTCAGAACTTCACTCAGACTGTATACCTGTTTATTTCCATGAAGTTTAATCTTTAATCAGTTGTAGGGTGCAGTCAGAGGCTATGAGCAGCAACGAGTGTTTTGGTTGCGGCCGCACTGGCCACTGGATCAAGAACTGTCCGAATGCTGGCCGTGGCCGGGGAAAGGGCCGTGGCAGAGGGAAAGGTGAGAGCCGCTCACTGTTGTGAACTGATCTGAACACTGATAATTTGCTGAGCTGATTTGGTAAATAATGTGTTTCTCCTGCCCTACGCTAGATCTTTTCTGCTATCGCTGTGGAGAACCAGGCCACGTTGCGAGGGACTGTGAGAGGACCGAGGATGGTAAGGACATGAAATGTAAAAAAAAATGGCTCTTATTCGTTGTTAAATGTCTGTAACATGTGTTGAATGTAGACATTTTGCATATCAGTGAGTCTGTCAGACACTCATTGTGTTTTTTTGTAAACTGGAAAAAAAAAACTGGTATAGAAAAAATTCAGTCAGCTAGTAAATTTCACAAATAATTGCAATTGACACGTTGAATTAAACACTATTTGGTTCATTTTAAATGGTTCAGTGGTGTTAATGATGTACTTTTTTGACATGTACACTACAATAAAAAATTGGTGTATGAACAATTTTTGGTCAGAAATTGCTAGTAAATTTCACAAATTACAAAGAAATGGCTAGGAACACATGGAATTAAACATGACATTTTGAAGCCGAAAGACTGAAATTGTGTGTGTGTGTGTGTGTGTGTGTGTTTTAATGTAACTCCAATAATCTGTGTTTTATTTACAACTTCAGATTTTTAAAGCTTGAATGCTGACAAGAGTGAAACTCCAGTTTGAATATGTAAGCCTTTGTACAGTATCCATGTCCATTCAGCATTGGGTTAGTTGACATGGTGCATTTTTTTCCCTCGTGCTGTAAAAACACTAAACTTTTTTTTTTTTTCCAAAGTAAATAAAACTGTTTATTTGGGTGTTTTACCAGAAAATACTATTTTATGTCTTTCCACTTCCAAATTTCACATTTAATTCAAGGCAGCGGCTATTTACACTAAGTGCAAATAACTATAGATTCTATTTACACTGTTAAAATAGCAAGATTTTCTGCTATTTATGATACTTATTGCAAATAGTGGCAATTACCTGTGTTATAGTACAGTGTTATAGTACATTATAAAACCGTACGCAGTAATAACGTATTGAGTGTAAATTATAATTTCAATTCAAATTATTAAATGGATGCCACCTTATTGGGACAATAAAGCCCTCCCTACACCTACCCGATACTTTATTTTCAACTTTTTGATTATTTCCTTCATTTTCATTGAAAATAAATGCCTTTCCGATGCGATGTGAGATTTGGAAAGGGAGAAAAAAAGAGGCAGAAGGCGGGTTCGAACTCGGGTCGATCGCGTTACCATCTACGCCACTGAAGCTGATGTTTAACAAGAGTCTTGGTTCAGTGTTGACTGGACCAATCACACATTGGTGGGCGGAGTTAGTGTAAATGGCCTCTGCCAACAAGGCGGGCTATTTGCACTTAGTGTAAACAGACACTCTTTACTTGTTGTTTCTTTGTCTGCATTTAAATCCAGACTCAAAACTCGTCTGTTTAGCTGTGCATTTATTGAATGAGCACTGTGCTACGTCCGAACTGATTGCACTGTATTTTATGTATAATTGTTTTCTATTTTTAACTGTTTTAAATTCATTTGAAATCAATTTCTAAATCATTTTAAAAGTTTAAGTTCCCCGTTTTATTGTTGTTGATTTTTCTTGACTATTTTACTTTTATGTAAAGCACGTAGAATTACCATTGTGTATGCAATGTGCTATATAAATAAACTTGCCTTGCCTTTGTAATTGAAATATCTGAATTAGAATTTACTACAACTTTTTTTTTTTTTTTTTGCAGTGTACATGTAAAAAATATAATTTTAAAATGAACCAATAAAGTGTTTGAAGAATGGGAGAAGGCTGATCAGTCACAGCAAATAGATTTTTTCTGAGCGCGGTGTTTTAATAAGCTGTTTTGTTTTGCAGCGTGCTACAACTGCGGCAGGGGCGGCCACATCTCCAGGGACTGCAAGGAGCCCAAGAAGGAGCGCGAGCAGGTCTGCTACAACTGCGGCAAAGCCGGCCACATGGCCCGCGACTGCGACCACGCCAACGAGCAGAAGTGCTACTCCTGCGGCGGCTTCGGACACATCCAGAAGGGCTGTGAGAAAGTCAAGTGCTACAGGTGAGGCCCGATCCTCAACGCTTCGGAGGCGAATGAGCCATGCCTGACCTGTGCTTCTGCTCCTCTCAGGTGCGGAGAGATCGGCCACGTCGCCGTACAGTGCAGCAAGGCCAGCGAAGTCAACTGCTACAACTGCGGAAAATCTGGCCACGTGGCGAAAGAATGCACCATCGAGGCCACCGCTTAGTCCCGTCTCCTCGGTGTCTTATATGTTTGAGTTGATGATCGTGGTAAAGTCTGGTGACCAGTGTTTTCACCTCGTTTAAAATGATGAAATTGCCAGATAGAGGGGGACTACTATATTCTCCATTCATTCACTGCAGTTGAAGACTGAACTTAAAGGAAGAACCAAACATAACCAAGTTGAGACCTCAGTCACAGTGGAGTTGACCGCTTCAAGCATGACTTCTACAAGAGAAATGGTGAATTGGAGAATGCATTTAGTGTAAAAGAGTGGCAACCCAGTTGAGATTGGTGACTAAAAACATGGAAAGTTCAGGTGGTGCTCTTCAACAAACCCTCAAGGGCAGGCACAATGCTCCAGTTACTAATGTAACCTTGGTTTCCTGAGATGAGGGAGAGAGCGTTGCGTTGACACACTTATGGGGAAACTCCTGTTTACTCTGATACTGAAGCCTGATTTGTTCATGTTCGTGTAACTGCGCGAACCAATGGCACTTCAACCCGCCAAAAGGGGAGGAGCCGACCTCTATCTAAGTTGGCTCTTAGCGCCATTTCATCAGAATCTTTCGACTGATATTGTTTATTTTGTCCTACAAGCACAATCCTGATCCATACTTTATTCCAGTCGGTGGCGGTAATGCACCAGCGAGGCCAGCTGCCCTGCCAACAGAAATAGGATAGAGGAAAATTACATGATTTCGGTTCATACTTGCAAGCAATTCTGAAATAGATGTATTTATGTTTTTTTCCCCACTTATCTCTGGATGCAGTGTGCTTTATTTACTTGTAAGATACACATGTAGCAAAGCTGGTTCTCATTTTACAACTGAAGGGGACATTCTGACTTCAATCTTATATAATAGATAATGCTAGTTCACTGAAAAAATCTGACCTACAGAAAATAGTTAATATTAGATAAAGGCTTTGAGTTTACTTTTATTGTAAATCGTAATATTAATGAGTTAAAGAAGGCCTACTGATCTTAATTAAAGAGAAAACTCAAATGAAGTTCAATCTCTTGAAATGTCTCAAGTCTTATTGCGGTGCAGTTTTATCTCTCACCAGTAGATGGTACATAAGACGCCTTTTGAAAAAATTTTTTTTACGTTTACTCATGACCTCGTGATCATTTCAAGAGGTCTTTCAAAGTAGTACTAGTTACTAGTTAGCACCATGAATATACCAAATAAATAAATATATAAATAAACCCACCTGCGACATTCCTTGTTATCACGCGTTTGTGAGGCCAGCTGCCCTGCCAACAGAAATAGGATAGAGGAAAATTACATGATGCCGGTTTATACTTGCAAGCTATTCTGAAATAGATGTATTTATGTTTTTTTCCCCACTCATCTCTGGATGCAGTGTGCTTTATTTACTTGTAAGATACACGTGTAGCAAAGTTGGTTCTCATTTTACAACTGAAGGGGACATTCTGACTTCAATCTTATATAATAGAAAAATGAACACTAAAGAAGATGCTACTTCTTTGAAAAAGTCTGACCTACAGAAAAGGGTTTATATTAAGGCTTTGAGTTTACTTTTATTGTAAATCGTAATATTAATGAGTTAAAGAAGGCCTACTGATCTTAATTAAAGAGAAAACTCAAATGAAGTTCAATCTCTTGAAATGTCTCAAGTCTTATTGCGGTGCAGTTTTATCTCTCACCAGTAGATGGTACATAAGACGCCTTTTGAAAAAATTTTTTTTGCGTTTACTCATGACCTCGTGATCATTTCAAGAGGTCTTTCAAAGTAGTACTAGTTACTAGTTAGCACCATGAATATACCAAATAAATAAATATATAAATAAACCCACCTGCGACATTCCTTGTTATCACGCGTTTGTGTGCTCTGTCATCGCTTGGCGCGCCGGAAGTTGTCCACACGTCATATTCATGCGTCGTGCGAGCTTACCGTTGAGCTCACGCAGGTCCAGGTTGAACGTCTGAACTACAAACATGGTAAAATAAATATTCTTCTTTAGCTAATGGATTTTCAATGATCATACTGTATTAGTGTACATTTATAAAAGTAATTACACAGCTTTTTCTCCGAAAACGAATGTATCTTCTGTAATAAGAAGCGAAACTCGAGAGCAGAGTCATTTTTCACCGTTGACAGAAGTTTGTCAAGTAACCAGATTTAATAATAAACGTAACGTTACATTACGCAGTTCCTCTGATCAGATGCTTATAAGGCTTCTCAAGTATGAGAGTTGCATTTTCATACGAATAGATATGTTATACCGTAACGTTACATGTGAGCACCTGCTTAAATGAACTATTGCTATTTTTATTTCTAGGCTCGAAACGCAGAAAAGGCCATGTGAGTGTTTTCCTTTTATATTTCTGTCAGAACTTTCTCTTGTGTCCTCTGCAGAATTTCCTAGCAGTGCTTTTTCCTTTATTCTGCAGGACTGCCTTGGCCAGGTTTCGTCAAGCCCAGCTTGAAGAGGGAAGGATTAAAGTGAGTACACTTTATCATCTAAACACTGATGTGCTGAGAGCATCTCTATGGCTTGTGTTCACCTGATCATATGCCACATTCACAGGAAAGAAGACCTTTTCTTGCTTCAGAGTGTAATGAGTTGCCTAAAGCAGAGAAGTGGAGGAGACAGGTCAGAAGTTTTGAAGTTGTGCTTCTGATAGATACTGGTTAAATGCTATAATGCTACATATGCATATTAACTCGCACATATTCGGTTTAACCTCCGTTTTTCTTGCACTTCTAGATTATCAGTGAGATTTCAAAGAAAGTCGCCCAGATTCAAAACGGTGAGAATATGTAAAAGAAAAAAAAAAGCAAACATGAAATGTACATGTGGTACATGTGGCTTAAACTCCTGCCTGTCTTCCTCAGCTGGTTTGGGGGAGTTTAAGATTCGTGATTTGAATGATTTGAATGACAAGCTGCTCCGAGAGAAAGGACACTGGGAAGTCCGAATCAAGGAACTGGGAGGCCCTGACTACAGGGTAAGAATATGAGTGCTGAATTACATGATTTTTATTGCATTTTTTGTCCATTTCATCTCAAATCATATTACATTTAATGCATATGGTTGCTGTATTATATCAAATCAATTACAGATGTATATTTCTAACTTTTATCAGAATCAGAATGAGCTTTGTTCACAAAGTGTGCGCAAACACACAAGGAATTTGTTGTTTTGTTTTCATAGCATCTACAGTGAGGTCCACAAATCTGAGATAACCAGTGAAAATAGTTCAGTTTTGCATGTTTCCAGTTTAATAAAAGATTCGATCGGCATAATAAACTGATCTCAAAAATGAACACACGAATGTTTCGGCGTTTGGTTTGTACTTTTGCGTTAATGGAGCTGACACAAACAAGACCTGAGATCACCCGAGCAATGTCACACATTTACATT